AACCCCTTTTTGTCAGTCGCAATAGAGTTTCCAGGACGTGGAACACGTTATTTGCTGACATGCAAGGGATTTCTTTGCACTAACAAAAAATCCTGTTATTGAGGTAAAACAAATTTGTTATTTTATCATTGATATTAATTTAATTAATTTATTCTTAAAGATGTCAAAAAAAATTCTAAAAAAATGATAATCAAATATCAAATTTTACGTTTGAAAGACCAAAAATTATTTGGCCACAAGTTAATATTTTTTGGTGTAAGTACTATAAGATTTTGATTTTGAACACATGTTTAAAGTCATTTTCTCCCTCCAAAGAAATTGCTTTCAAAAATAAAAAGATCGTGGTCCACTGAGCTATGTTGGACGTAAGTGTTGAAGACCTGTTTATCCTTCCACTGTCTCCAGGAGTCACGAGACCCGGAGCCTACACTCAAATTTCCATGGCTTAGAACGCACTAGCTTGAAATAGACCATCCTACATCCAATTCAGCGAGCCGAACCCATCTTCCCCCACTCAGGTAACAAACTTCGTTACCAAGCCCAGCGAACGCGTAAGGGGGTGACAACTCATTTAAATCAGTAGTTTTTCTTCTTCCTAGAGGATGTGGCATTCTCTCTCTTTTCGAGTGGCTTCTTGTTGTTGAGTGAAGAGTTGGGGGACTTCTTTGGAAGCAGTAAGCCTGCAGGTTGTTTCATTGATTTTGGAAGACAAGACTAGGGCCTTTTCTGGGCTCCCTTTTGGGCCTATGTCCTTTACAGACCCTTATTGTGATTATAAAACAGTGGGTATTTAAAAAACAAAAAGATGATGGTCCAATCAGGGTCAACCTAATGAGCCATGATGGATCCATGTGGCGCAGGCCTGTTATCCTTCCACTGCCAAGAGCGGGTAGTCTTCGCTGCTCTGTGAAACCAGCCTCACGCAGTACCCACCACTCTAGGAACCACGAAACTCAGAGTCTTCACTCAAGTTCCATGGCACAACTCTTGGCTTGGAACGGGCAGGCCCGTGTTAGACCACAATGGATCCGACTCAATCGAGTCAAATCCGTGTTCCATCACCATAACACCCCCACTTAGGTTGCAAGCTTGCGTTACCAAGCTCGGCAAGCAAAGCGTCGGGTGACAGCATATATAAACAACTAACATGTCTTCTTTCGGGTCGATGTGGGATTAACATCTTTTGAGTGGGGTTCTTCTTGTTGAGGTGATGAGCGTTGGGATTTCTTGGAAGCTCAAAACGAAGATATGGCAAGGTCAAAATGATATGTTCTGCATCATTTGTAAGATGAAACTCCTGTTTCATGAATATATGGAAA